CCTGCTGCCACCAGCCCAGTGGTGACATTGTACAGCCAGATGCCACCGCAGAGGGACATCCAACCCCCCGCCGTCAGCCCCGGTGCCTTCCCCGCCCCAGCCTTTCCTTGCTATGAACCCAATTTATACATTTTACATCTCCCTGCTGAATATCTTAGCATCATTCAGAGCCAGAAGCTGAGCACCCACCTAAGACACAACGTGTTCCCCCCCAGGGCCATCCATATCGCCTCCCCAAATCCCATCCCAGAGGAGGATGCTCCCCCTCACAGCCGGCTCTGCCCCACGGCCACGCACGTACCTGCAGTGGATGACGATGGGGCCAGCGTCCCCTGCGGATGAAGGCCAGTAGCCCCGTGGCGTGGTAAGGAACGCCGTGCTCGGGCCACGACGTGAAGTGGAACTGCTTCACCTCGTGCCGGGCCGAGTAACCCCGCTGCAAGGGAAGGCCGAGATGGAGTGAGGGTGCACAGGGAGGGCAAAGCCACCCAAACACCCGATTTTTTTGAGAATTCATGCTTTTGCCAACTCAGCATCCCAGCCAGGTGGATCACACAGCAGTCAGTGGCTTCAGCAGCCTTGCAGCTCCCTCCTCCTCGGCTGCAAAAGGGTTAATAGCCAGTCAAGGAGGAAGAGGAGGTGGTGGCAGCAGCCACGGGTCTCATTCCATCAGCATCTTTGCTACTCACCCTATAACTAGAGAGTAATTTCACATTCCTGTAGATTAAAGGCTAAATCGCACCGGCTCCATCCCTGGGTACCACACTGGAGAGTAACAGCCACATAACCTGTGCTCCAGCCCGGAGGAGAAAAAGCATCCTTCACCCCTATTGCAATTACATGGTGCCTACATGGAAATTAAATACTCACTCACTGCTGAAACCAAAGCGGGGCTGAGCCGCTCACCCCTGCGGAGGGCACAGAGCCAGGGAAAAGGCAAAGGAAGAAGCTACTGGCATCCCCAGGGTTCAGAAGTTGCACCTCAACCAGGGATGACAGCCCCACGTTGGGGTAAATAAAGAGGGTATTGGTAAATGCCAATCTAGCGATGGTTAGGGATGCCCAAGGCGGTCGGTTCTCTCCCCGTGAGGGCAGGGTTGGGCAGGTCATGGCTGGCAGGAGTGGGAACGTACCCTCTCGAGGGCGAAGGTGCGGACGGCGTATTCGGCCAACGTCTCTGACTTCACCAGAGTGATCTTGATGTCCCCGTACATCTCGGAGTCATCCGGCCAGTATTTGGAGCATTTGACCTGCAAGGAGAAGACGGGATGGGGTTTTGGCTCTGCGGAGGAAGATTCTGGCAGAGTTGGAGCCCGGAGGGAGAGGGGTGGGCTGGGGTCCTTACCCGGCCCACCTCCACCAGTTTGGTTATCATCACGATGCTGGAACAGTGCTCCTGCCACACCATGCGCCAGAAGTCGTACACCATCTCCTGCTTGGGCCCTGTGAGATGGAGGAAAGGCCACAGGGGATGG